AGTAGTTGCTTTATATATTTTGGTGCTCCCTGATCGGGAGCATACATCTTGATAGGTATTATGTCTTCTTGTTGTATTGTCTCCTTTATCATTATGAAATGATACCTTTTTAATCTTGAAGTCTGCTTCATCAGATATAAGTATGGGTACACCTTCTTTTCTCTGGATATTACTTGCTTGGAGTATCATTTTTGACCCTTTCACTTTGAGTCCATATTTGTCCTTGCAGCTGAGATGTGTCTCTCGATGGCAGCATATAGTTGGGTTTCATTTTTGGATTCAACCTGCTCCTCTGTGTTTTTTTCTTGGTGAGTTCAGTCCATTTGCATTTAGGCCAATTATTGATATATGGGGATTTCCTATCATTCAATTTTTTATTTTCTGGTAGCCTGGTGTCTCCATTGTTTCTTTGCCTTTGTGTTTCTGTCTGTTACTTTAATTTGGTGATGTTCTATGATTTATAATTTTTTTCTTTGTTTCCTCTGTTTTATGTGTCTCAGTTTTGGACTATTGTTTTTTTTTTATGTTTGTTTGCTTTTGTTTTTGTTTTTTGAGTGGTTACCATTAAGTTTATGTAAAAGAAAGTTCAATACATACAGCAGTCCTTTTTCTTTAGCATACCTCTTATCTCCATTCCCCCTTGCAGATTCAGACCTTTACCACCACCCCCCTTTTATGCTTCTGTTGTCACAAATTATCCCTATCTATGCTGTAAGTTCATTTCCAATTTGCAATAGCAAACTGTCTTATCTTTTTCTTTTTTATGTTTTAGTCTCCTTTACCCTTTATGTTATATTTAAGTGTATAATGCCCTATTCTGAGTAAGGGTTGCCATTTCCTGCCTCTCTCTGTCTGTTAGCCATCTTACTTGTAGTTTTGTATCCTTTTGTCTTTTTGTTTTAGTTAGAATAACCTCCTTTAGTGGTTGCTGTAATGCAGGCCTCGTGGTGGAAAATTCCCTCAGCTTCTGTATATCTGGAAAGGTCTTTATTATTGCTTTATATCTAAAGGATAACTTTGTTGGATAGATTACTCTTGGCGGGTAACTTCTCTCTTTCAATAGTTTGAATATTTGATTCTACCCCCTCCTAGCTTGTAGAGTTTCTGATGAAAAATTTCATGATAATCTAATTGGCTTTCCTTTGTTACTGGCTTCTTTCCCTTTGGGGCCTTGACAATTTTTTCTTTGTCATTAATTTTTGACAGTTTCAATACAATGTGCCTTGGAGAAGGCCTTTAAGATTGAGATAATTAGATGTTTTGTTTGCTTCTTGGGTTTGAGGACCCAGTTCTTTCCATAGGCTTGGGAAGTTCTCATCGACTATTTTTTTTTAATGTGCTTTCTGTTCCCTTCTCCCTCTCTTCTCCTTCTGGTATGCCCATTATTCTTATATTATTCTTTCTGATGGAGTCAGTTCTTGTAGAGTTCCCTTATTTCTGTTAACTCTCAAGTCTCTTCTTCCATCTGTGTCATTTCCAGATTCTACCTTTGATATTACTAATTCTTTCCTCCATCTGGTCAGCTCTATTTCCTAAGCTCACTTTCATTCTTCGTCTCTTTTATTGAGTTCTTCAGCTCCAGAATTTCTATTTGGTTCTTTTTAAAAATTTCAATCTCTTTGGTAAAGTATTCCTTTTGTTCATTGATTTTATTTCTGAGTTCATTAAACTGCCCATCTGAGTTTTCTTGAATCTTATTGAGTTTTTTCAGAACTGCAAACTTGAATTATCTGTCACTTAAGTCACATATTTCCATGTCTTTAAGTTTGTTTTCTGGGGATTTTAAATTTTCTTTCTGAGTAACCTTGTTACCTTGGTTGTCCATTATAATTGATGGATTATTTCTCTTCCTAGGCATCTATGGGAATGAATTCTGCAGCAGGTTGATATGAAGAAGTTTTTCTTTTGTTTTCCAGTAGGTAGTGCTGGAGTATTTTATTTTCTCTTGCTCTATCCTGGCTTCTCAGGGTGGAAGGTGCCCTGGGGAGGTGGTTGTCTCCTATGTAATCAGGTTGCCTCAGTCTCAGGACTCCACTCCCATGGGAGAATATGGTGGGCGAGGGGGTTCTGAACCCCTGCAATCTCAGTGCTGCCCCTGCAGCCAGATGCAGAGCTGCATAGACCTGGATACCCCTGCTGGGCTCAGTTGTAAAATATGGGGGTGGGGTGGCCTGGGAGAGGTAGCTGGTGTGTTTTTGGCTTTGTTCTCCTCTAAGTAATGACAACTACCAGATCACAACTGCCTCACCTGTATATCTCTATCCTTATCACTAGGATTAGCTGTAGTGTGCATCTGCCACTCACAAACTGTCTCTCCAGTTCTCAGGGCTGTAGATATTCTGCTCTTTAACGTGATATTGCTACAGTTTTTTTCTGCGGCCCACTGCTAGCTCTGGAAGAAAACGTGGAGAGGCAAGGTCTAGGTGGGTGCAGGGAGGCAGCCAGGCTCTGTGGCTCTGTATTCTGCCTGGCGACAAGAGCTGCTAGACCACAGCTGCTGCACTTCTGTATTCGGTCTCTGCCCCAATGTCTCTGCCTGATTGCTGGGTTTAGCTGTATTGTATGCTGATCACTCAGGCAGGAATCCTTGGGGCCACAGAGAGTGCATCTGCAGCCTGAATCCTTTCCTCTCCTGGGAACACAGTGAGTTCTGGGCTGCGTCCATGCATCCATCTCTGTTCTCCCTTCCCTCCTTCCCTGTTCACCTCATTCGCCCACCTTCAGATGTTTTGATGTGCAGTTCACTCAGATGTGTTTGTGTGTTACGCAAGGAATCCTTTGTTGAATTACAGCTGTTCTACTTGTTGTAACTTCAAGGGGACAGATCAAGGAGGACCCCTCAAGCCACCATGTTTCTGATGACACCTCAGCAGGACCTTCTGAGTCAGATGAGGATTTAAGCCTCGTACTGCTACTTGTTAACCATGTATTTGGGGAAGATTAGCAGATTATGACTTTAATCTCCCTAACATTCTTCAATGGCCTCAGAAATGGGTATTATCACCCATTCTGTTGCACAACCTAGAAATCTGGGAATAATATATTCTCTTTATTACTTCTGTTTTCCCTTTACTTTCCATATCCAACACATAGGCAGGTTCTATAGCATTTATATAAAAATATTTCTCAAATCCATCCCCTCCTTTCCTTTTCTATGCCTACTACATTAGGTCAGATTGCCTGGTTGAAGGCAACAGACTTTTAGTAGTGTGCACGTCTTCACTTTTGTCTTCTAAAATGCATCCTCCATGTGACTGCTGGAATTATCTCCCAAATATACAAATTTGACTTTATCACTGCCTTGTTTATACCTTATGGTTACTTATGATAGCCCAGAATATACAAAGTTCAACTTCTTAACAATGTACACAAGACTTATCAAGATCTAATCATTTTTCTAAAACTTCACCTATTACCACTCCTTTCTTTGATTTGAATCATCATAGAATCCATACTGCCTCATGTTTGCATGTTCCTCTTCACACTATACCTTTTCCTGGAATTCCCTTATCCTTATTCCCCTTTTTTCATATGGCTAACTTTACTCATTCCTTAAAACTCATCTCATTCCCTGCCCATCTCCCCAAATCTTCTATTTCCCCTTATCCAAGTAAAGCTAAATTCTCCTAAACTGCCCTGTGAATATTTCCATCATCGGGTCTAACATATTGCAGTGTAATGATCTTTTAAATGATTATATTCTGGAATAGGTTATAAATTACTAAAGGAGCCAGGGATCATATCTCAGCCATCCTTTTATCCCCAGTGGATATATAGTGCAGAACAAAAAAACATGGTATAATCACAGAATTAAAAATAGGTCAACAAAGCTGGAATACATAAGGGAGGAGAAAAGTTTTATTGGAATGTGGTTGAACAATCCTACAGAGGTTAGATAATGTAGAAAATTATTTACCATGTTAAAAAACTGACATTTTATTAAAGGTTTAAGAGCTGTTGAAAATGTTTGAGGAGAGGAATGGTATGACAAAGATAAACTGGCAACAAGTAGTTAAGGAATGATGGGAGTAGGAGGAAACCTGGGCTAAAAGTGGAGGACTAGAGCACTGGCAACAATGATGAAAAAGAAAGGTTAGAGTTGAGACACTGGGGGGACTCATTCAAAGGGAAATGATGGCTAATTGGAGAGGATAAAGAAGGAAAAGAAGTCTAGGATGACTCAGTTTTGGGTTATTGGGTAAAAGGGTTATCTTGCAGTGACATGGGAAAAAAGGAGAAAGAACAATGGGGAATGATGGGTTTGGTTTAGATATTTTGAATTTGAGATGTTTTAGGATACTAGGTACATATGTAAAAGGCAACAGGAAATCAGTAACTGTAGCTGAAGAGAGAAGCATGAGTTAGAACCATTCATCTGAGAGCTATCGAAATAATACTGGTAATTAATTAAAGTCACTGTGATAATATGATTGCTAAACTGAAGAAGAGGAAGGACAGCTTCACATAAAGACTGAGGAAGGCTAATCAGAAGCTAAAGAGGAGAACCAAGAGACAGCAGTTTTATAGAAGTCAAGGAAGGAGAGGTTTTATGTCTAACTTATTTAGTGCTAAGTTAACAAACAACAGAATTATACGACTGTTGTTTGTTATTCCAAAGTGTATCCTAACATGGGTTCACTTCTTAATATCCTTCTATGAAGGAGATATAACATCTTAGTGTGGAGGGCTATTAAGTTAACTCTCAGTAACTGAAGGGAAACTTTTTTTATCATTTAAATATCAATTCTATCGCTTTGTTCTATCACTTAAATGAATTGTTAAGAGGAGAACTTGCTATGTGTACAACGTGGTCCATACAACAGTCATCCTGCTTTTATTATAATTGAATTTTAGGCTTTATTTTCTGAATATGAAAAAAACTATAGAATTATTCTTCATAATTTATGTGCATATCTAATATATCAACTATACCTCAGAGGAGTCTTATAAAAAGTATTGAGCATTGATGAACTAAAAAGAAAAAGCCACAAAACAATTACCTCAGCACCTATTTCTCCAGGAGGTCCAGCGTCACCCTGCAGTCCTCTTGGCCCCTGTATTAAAACAAAATTTCAAATCTGAGAATCAAAGATTACTCCGTTAAAATATGCACCTAAATATGGAATTTAAAGATATCATATGTAATATTACATGATACATTTATTAGTGTAGTGCCTTATTAAAAAATTTTATCCTTAGTTTACACATCTGTGTTTCTTTTGTGAATAATGTTAAGGTATGCATGGGCTCGAAAGAAATGGAAAGAAAGGACAGTACCGTTCATTCTTTCCTTCCTTAACTTATTTACTCATTCAATGAAGATTTATCAAGTGCTAATAAATATGAAATATTGTGCTAAGGACTTTCAAAAATTATCTTATTTAATGGGTATGATAATTATAGATTTATTTAGTATTCCTGGTAAATATGTGACAAACAAAATAGCAGTTTTGAAGAAGCAAATATTTGCTCTAATGAAATAACAATATGTTGGAGTTTGCTTGATGTCATACTTTATCATGGTACTAAGGACACTTGAATGATTCCTGTTTCATATGAATTGATGTAACACTGATTACAGGAGATAATCACTGAGGTGTAATAAAACACATGTTGGGATGTTTATGGTAATCTTGGTCACTGTAATAGTGAATAGTTTAATTTTAAGTGAATGGACATTGAGTAATTAGCTTGTGGCCTAATAAGCATTTAATTGCTGAATCTAAAGGATCTTTTTAGTGTGTGGGAGCCATATAAGTGGCTAGACTTATTTTAGATAAATTAATACTTATTTAGCAATGTAATGGTATTTCTCTAGTCAGATAAAAAAACTTCTTGCACTTTTCGATCTTTCTGGAAAGACAGAAAGTATTTTTTAGATTCAGAAAATAACAAGATCATTAAAATTTTGTACGAAATTAAAAATATCCCATCACAATTTTGTGAATACCTCACTTTTTAAAAATGTAGTAATGGGGAGCAAAACTGGTATGGTTGGTTATGTTAAATTGTTTTTCTAAATTCTTATAGTAATATTCATTTAAAAATATTTAAAAAGTGTGGAAAGTACAAAAAAAAGATTAAGTCAAACACTGTAAATGTTCTTTTATATTTCCTTCTACTTCTATTAAGGGGACACACTTATAAATAGCTCTCTATTGCTTTAGAGAGTTATTTACCACATTATTTTAAATATTTCATGACAAAACTGTTCAATGGTTACATAGTATTCCATTTAATATTCCACAGTACCATAAATTAATCATTTTCTTAATACTAGACATTTATGTTGTTTTTAATTCTTCTTTGCAGTAAAATTTTGCTTCAGTTAATTTATTATATGTATGTTAGACTATGAATGAAAGTGAAGGTCTGTAACATAATGTGACATTGTGAAATAGCTGAGGTAAACATTTGAATGATAGGATTATAAGGTTGGTATATAGGCTCACTGAAGTTGTCCTCAACTCAACAATATAATCATTAAGGTTACTAAGAGGTCATTTATATTTCTCAATTATGGCTTATTAAATATTATGGATAATATTTTAAAATTTATTCTCCTCAGAATGTATTCTTATCCTATTATAAACACACTGAGAAAAACACCTATGTGCATAAATCTTTGTGCGTATTCTGCATTTTCTGTCTCTCCCCTCTTTCTGTCTTTGTGAATTTGACTACTCTTAGAATCTCATATAAGTGGAATCAGACAGGGTTTGTCCTATCTGTTTGAGATCCTGCTTTCAGTTCTTTTGGGTACATACCCCGATGTGGAATTGCTGAATTATAATCTCATTAATTCTTCAAGCCAGAAACACAGGAATCATACTTCACATATAGGATATGTATCTCCTGTTGATTTTATCTCCTTTCAAATCTTATATATCTATCCACTTGTTTTCCCTGCTTATCAAAAGGGTTCTACCATCTCCTATCTGGATTATTGCAACAGAAAGCCATTCTTGTCCATTCTTGGTCCCTTACAATTTGATCTCTAGGTAGACTGTGGTTTGAGTAATTTTAACGAAGCAATAATTGGATCATAAAACTAGCCCCACCCTTTCAATGACATCCCTTTGTCCTTAGGACAAAAAATACAAATCCCTGGGAATAGGGCTCATAAAGATGCATGTGTTTTGTCACTTGCTTCCCTTTCTCTCCTCATCTTGCACCTTCTTTTCACTTGACTCTGCCACAGTCATACTGGCCTTCTTTTAGATCTTCACATAAATATGTAGCGTTTCTTCCCAGCTCACGACTTCTCTCTGGAATCACCTTGCCTCATCTTTGCCTAAGTAACTACCATTCGTCCTACCATTTGAGATTACAGCTCCAAGGTTCCTCCTTATGGAAACTTTCCTTAACCCGTAAGTAACTTAGTAAGTAACTACTAAGTCCTACCATTTGAGATTACAGCTCCAAGGTTCCTCCTTATGGAAACTTTCCTTAACCCCAGAGTCGGGTAGTTTCTGTGTTACACATTGTCTTAGAACCGAATTCCTGTACTTGACATTATTTATGCCAGTATTAAGTTATCCATTTACCTGTTATTCATTAATGTGTACATTTACCATTAGACTGAAAACTCCATGCTGACCACTACACTCCAAGTGCGGGTTCTTAATAAGTATTTGTTGATTGAATGAATAAATGGTCAACTATCCAAATCCCAATACTTGCATTGCAATGAATAAACCAGTTTTGAATCTCATCTGAGAAAAAGAGACCACTCTAATAGGTCTTGGCTATAGAACAGTTGTAGTTCTCTCTATTTTGTTATTCTCAAAATAGAAATATGTTTCTACATGTGTTCTATGTCCTTCATTTACCAATTTACTTCTGTTCTTTTCTTTTGGCTGGGCAGCTCAAATATACGAAACAAAGCTTATTCTACTTATTATAAATTGGCTTATATTTTATTTACAAGCCCCACTAACTCTGTGACCTGAATATCAATTTTTAGGTGCTATTAAGGCATTTAGTCATTTATGGCTACAATAACATTTTTTTTCTTGCATAAAGCCCAAGATACTGTCTTTGCTGTTGCCATAACTCTATTGACACATTTATCTTTGCTTAAATGTGTTCATTAGTAAGACTAAAGTAGTTTTCTTTCCATGTCACTTCATCTAACATTAGTGGCTGAATCATTATACCTTTGGGTATATGACTGTTTGTCAAGTCAGTTTAACAAACATGCACTAAGTAGATATAGTATGCCAGGCATTATACCAGGAAAGAAGATTGCAAAGGTGAAAAAAATGGTTTCTGACTTCAAGGAGCTACAGACTTTTTAGAAGAATCTGCTATTTAAGTAAATAATGCTAAAAAGAGTTGCATTATTTTTGATGAACTAAATATTAGAATTGGGATGGAAAGTTGAGAGATACAAAATATGGAGTAAACTGAGAAGGGTTCAATTTGATAAAAATCAATATGATGTCTAAGATTCTTGCAATGGAAATAACTATATATATATATGATAAAATCTTTATTTATTGTTTAGAGAGTTTATATCATAGGTTAACTGTGTAAAGGAGGAAACGAATACATTTTGGTAACAAAAACTCTTTGACTTTTAGAACTTTCCACTTGCTACTAGCTAAATGAGTTATGCAAAGGCCACTTGCAAACTTTTGTGTCAACTGATGGATGAGATCAGTCCAGTAATTTGAAAGAATATATTGTATTGTAAATCTTAAAAACATGTTACAGCATATTACATCTGATATCATCCCAGAAGGATGACTTCATAGGCAATAAAGAATAAATTTTGAGAAAGTAGGTGTGACAAGGTCTTTTCTTTTCATAATTCATTTTCCATGGAAACTATAATTGAATCACATTTATGAAATTGTCATGTAAGTTTTGTATTATTGATGTAACAACATTTTTGCCATGTTTGTACATTTTGGCCAATCAGATGTAGAGTTTGGTTTCTCTATATGGTCTTTAATATAGAGTTGGCCTCATAAATGTGACTGTGTGTGTGTGTGTGTGTGTGTGTGTGTGTGTGTGTGTGTGTGTGTTGTTATTATACTAACAACAAGCCATTCAGAAAGAAAATTTCTGAGATTAAATAAAACAGAGTTATCTTTGTTGAAATATAAATATGTGCAATTTTAACAGTTCCAGGTTAAAAGGAACAAATTTGACTCTACGAAACCAGGAAGGCACTAAAGCCTGTATTCACAGCAAAATATTCCTTCTGTATAATTAGGTGTCCACAATAAATGCTGCTTTCAGAAATAAACCAGCCACAGCACAAGATGGCAATAATAACAGCAAGGTTAGTACATTATGAGAAAAACACAATTAGAAAAGTATAAAGAGAAACTTACTGGTTCTCCTGCAAGTCCCCTGTCTCCTGTACTCCCAGGGGGTCCTTGTAAACCCTGAACAAACAAAGGCAAAACTTGAAGGAGAAGTGATGCTTGAAAATGTTTTAGTCAGTTCCATTACTTCAGCTTTTCTTCACAATCCTCCCACTTAACTTTGCTGTTTGCTTCTATTCTTTGTTTTCTATTTTGTCATAAAATGTATATAATATAAAATTTACCATTTAAAAAATTTTTAAGTGTATAGTTGTGGCATTAAGTACATTCAAATTGTTGTGCTACCATCACCACTGTATATCTTCAGAACTTTTTATCTTTCCAAATTGAAACTCTATACCCATTAAATCACTCCCTATCCCCCTTCGTCCATGCCCTTGGCAACCACAATTCTACCCTCTCTCTCTGAATCTGACTATTCTAGGTGCCTTATATAAGTGAAATTACACAATATTTGTCATTTTGTGTTTGGCTTATTTCATGTAGCATAATGTCTTTAAGGTTCATCCATGTTGTAAAATGTGTTAAGACTTTCTTCCTTTTTAATGTTGAATAATATTCCACAGTACGTATATAAAACATTTTGTTTATCCACTCATCTGTCAATGGACACTTAGGATTTCTACCTTTTTACTATTGTGAATAATGCACCTATAAACATTGGTG